AGATTCTCCCTATTCCTTTATACACATTTTCGTACGAATAAAGTTATTAAAGAAAGTTATTCGATCGCTATCATAATCAAAATATCCTTTTCTTCCAGAAAAAAAAAAAAAAAGAAAAAGAAAAATGAATCCCGTTAATTTTTCAGTCGTACTACTTTCTACCGATCCACCCTTCGCAAAGCAGGATCGAAGAACCGTTACCACGGATTACACACGAAGACTTTCCGCATCCTATTTTGCAACAAGTTCGATATTTCAAGATTATCTACCTCGTGTCTCGAAATTACAGTGTCCAAAGGCTCCTCGAAGCCATGCCGTGGCCGCGATTACTCGAGAGAAAACTGGTCGCCTAGCGATATATATTTTAATAATACCCCGCGCGAGAGGAGATCGCGTTAGCCCTGAAGATAGCTTGGAAGGTATCGACTCGATACCGAAGCGGCCGAGAAATCGATGGGGATCTTGTTTCCCGGCTACGAAAGGGAATCGTAATGATTGGCCGCGAGAGAAATCATAAGCTCGATCGGTGGGCTTCTAAGCCGCTTAAGAGGACGTCGTCCTTTTCTTCGATCTCGTGACAAAATCACGTTTGCCATTACCCTCCCGCCTTCTCGAGAAATCTGTGAAATGAGCTCGTGCGTGTGAACCGTTCAATCGATCGATCTTTTGAATTTTTCCTTCTCATTGTTCCTGTCTTTTTTTCCAGGGTTTGTTCAACAACTGGATTCCAAAAATGACATTCCAATATCCGGATATGAGAAATTACTTTTCTGAAAATTATTACGAATTATTGTTCGAGTCGTTGAAGAGTTCTATGAGATAGGAATTTTATCAGAGTTTTAAATTTTTATATTTCCTTCTCATTGTTCCTGTCTTTTTTTCCAGGGTTTGTTCAACAACTGGATTCCAAAAATAACATTCCAATATCCGGATATGAGAAATTACTTTTCTGAAAATTATTACGAATTATTGTTCGAGTCGTTGAAGAGTTCGATGAGATAGACATTTTATCAGAATTTTTCGAATTTTAAATTTTTATATTTCCTTCTTATTATTCCTGTCTTTTTTTCCAGAGTTTGTTCAACAACTGGATTCCAAAAATGACATTCCAATATCCGGATATGAGAAATTACTTTTCTGAAAATTATTACGAATTATTGTTCGAGTCGTTGAAGAGTTCGATGAGATAGGAATTTTATCAGAGTTTTAAATTTTTATATTTGCTTCTCATTGTTCCTGTCTTTTTTTCCAGGGTTTGTTCAACAACTGGATTACCAAAAATGACATTCCAATATCCGGATATGAGAAATTACTTTTCTGAAAATTATTACGAATTATTGTTCGAGTCGTTGAAGAGTTCGATGAGATAGGAATTTTATCAGAGTTTTAAATTTTTATATTTGCTTCTCATTGTTCCTGTCTTTTTTTCCAGGGTTTGTTCAACAACTGGATTACCAAAAATGACATTCCAATATCCGGATATGAGAAATTACTTTTCTGAAAATTATCGTAACGAATTATTGTTCGTTGAAGAATTCGATGAGATAGGAATTTTATCAGAGTCGTTCGAGTTTTAAATTTTTATATTGTTTGAAGTAGAGCATATTTAACATTTCAATCTAATCCTGATTCAAAATTGAAAATTTCGATTTTTTAAATCCTTAATTCAACATTAAAAGTTCCAATTTAACCTGACCGATCTGTCACCGATCCATCGTTACGGGACGCGTGGAAAAGAGGAGGAAAAAAAAACGTCGAGAAACGGGAGATGGATCGATAAGTTTCACGGGTGGATTCGGCATGCAATCAGTCGGCCAAGGTTGGCCCGTGGTCAGCTGTTCGAAGGGCGAGCGAGAGACGAGAAAACTGGTGGATGTATGTGGCAACAGAGGAGGGAGGGAGAGAAAAAAAAAAGGAGGAAGAAACGGCGGATGGCGGAGGCAGGGAGAGGAAAAAAGGGACCCACCGGTCGTCGAGGTTGCACCTGCCACGTCGTGGCGCGGCCGTACAAGGCCGACGATCCCGAAGAAACTCGAGGCGGAGGAGCGACGAGCAACGCTCGAGTCTCTCGCCTTAAGCGGCGTCTCTCCCTCGAAATCACGATCGATCGATCTTGAGATTCCCCTGGAATCGCGGCGCGCAGACCCGCGAAGCCGATGTCAGCGCGATCGACATTGAATTTCATACAACGAGCTGCCACCGGGAACTCTTCCCTTTTTCCCTTCTCCGCGCCTCTTATCTCCTTTTTTTTTTTTTTCTTTTTCCTTTCACCGAGCGAAGAAAAGATTCCTCGATCAATTCGAAAGGAGGGAGCGATTCTTCCAGCGATTAAAAAGCGGAAAATTTGGATTTTTTTTTTCTTTTTCCTTTCACCGAGCGAAGAAAAGATTCCTCGATCAATTCGAAAGGAGGGAGCGATTCTTCCAGCGATTAATAAGCGGAGAATTTGAATTTTTTTTTCTTTTTTTTTTTTTTATTAATTTTTAAAACTCGAATTTAAATTTGAAGCTATATATTTAACGCGAGGTCTTCGTGATAAATGTTGGTTAATTAATTTTGATGGAATTTTCTTGTACTCGTGTTAAAGTAATAATTGATTACATTTTTTTCTTCTTTTCTTTTAATGCGATCGAATGTTTCTTAATAAGCGGTGTAATTAAATTTCCAATTCATGAGTGAATTAATTCGGCGAATAATAAATTAAAATCGAAGTTTACTTATTAATCGATTTGTCAAACAATAAAGAGATCTTCGAATTATGTAAGTCAAAAGTTTCGGAAAATTTACGATAATTAATTTCTGAATCCTCTATATATCTCTCAAGAGAAGTAAATGTCCAAGATACAACCTCATTTTAATATTATTTTCTCTTTTTATATCAATAATTAATTTGGTATTCCTCTTTTTTTTTTAAATTTAAAATTAAGCTTGAAAGATTTTCAAATTCAATTGGATCATCTATTAATATATTTTATTAATAATTTAGATCCTAAACTTACTAACTTTTATATTTCATATTGGAAAATTATTCTAAAAAAAAAAAAATTCGATTGTGAATAATTGCATTCTTGAGTTGAAAAAGGAATTGGAAGACTGTTCGACACGAGTTAAGAATCACGTGGTAAAAATCGCGAGATGGAGGACAAAGAAAAAAAAAAATTATTGCGAAAGAACGTACTTCTCATCACTGAAATTTCCAATTCCCCTTGATCCATCGTAAAACGTTTCGCGCCACTTAATTTCCGCACCGATAACTGATCTTCGTGGTATTCGCACGGTTCGCGAGAATAGATCGAAAAAAAGA